AGCTTAGCTGTAGCTTCGCTTTAGCCTTAGCTTAGCTTCAGTTTAGCTTTAGCTTGGCTAGTTGTAGCTTAGCTCTAGCTTAGCCGCAGCTTAGCTTTAGCTTAGCCTTAGCTTAGCTTCAGATTAGCTGCAGCTCAGCTTTAGCTTAGCTTCAGCTTAGCTTGAGCTTAGCTTGAGCTTAGCTTGAGCTTAGCTTGATCTTAGCTTTAGCTAAGCTGTATCTTAGCTTCAGCTTAGCTTTAGCTGAGCTGTAGCTTAGCTTAACTTTATCTTAGCAGCATTTTAGCTTTAGCTCAGCTTTAGCTTAGCTCAGTTTTGGCTTAGCTTCTGCGCAAGCTTAGCTTAAGCTTAGCTTGACCGTTGCGATTAACGCTGCTTTCCTGGGGGCTCCAACTCCTAGTTGGGGGTCGCACTGTGATAATTTCCAGTCAAGGGCGACGCAGGTAGTGCCACCCTCTTTCCTGGCGCGCGCCAGGTCGATATGACGTCGCACTGCGTGAATGGCATCAGTGGCGCCTCGCCCTCTGCGAAAGCCGCATTGTGTTTGCCGCGGCCGGTCTTCTGCGCCTGCTTGTTGAAGTCGTTGAAGAAGGAGGCCGGCCCACAGCTTGCATGCCGCGCACAAGAGGCTGATTGGGCGGTGGTTTTCGAATCAGTGCGTCGGCCCTTTGTTCTTGCATATCGCACTTGCTTTGGCGTGCCTCTATGCGCCTGGTACATTTCGTTCATCCCAAGTTGCATTGCGTAGTTATGTTATCCATTGTAGTACACCTGGCGCTTGTGACACCAATTTCCAGCATTCCGCAGGTATGTCATCATGTCCGGCCGCAATTCCCCATTCGAATTTTCTTGCTGCTTTTCCCACTTCCCGCGCTGCGAGCGTTGACTCCTCGACCGGGAGGCGCGGCCCTAATGGGGCCCTTTCAACCAAGTTTGCTGGTCGTACTCTGCACTGCACCTGTTCCAAATAATCGGCCAAAGTATCAGCGCGTTCTGTGCTCCCCACTAATTTCCCATGTCCATTTTGCAGCATTTTGCAGCCTGCCTTGCTTGCGCTGCCGTGGACGGCAGAATGCGCGCATATTGCCCCACCTTCAGGAAGCGATGTACGAATCCACCCATGTCGTCTTGTCATTGTTACGCGATGTCCTTACCTGTTTAAGGAGACGGCGCCCTGCTGGTCGATCGTTGTTCCTGCGGGCATTTTGTGTTTGTCGCATCAGCTCCAGTGTGCGTTGAGATGCCCAAGGTTGTTTCGTTTCTTCTTGGCGCCATTAAAGCGCGGTCGCAGCCACCAGAGCTCCATTCGCCCCCTGCCCCCATAGAGCATCCACGTCCCCAGCGACGGTCATGCCAGATAGTTCGCCCAAAAATGCTTCGGCCAATCTCGACTGCACTTCAGGAAATATGAGCACGTCTTTGTCTATCGCTGCCTTGCGCGAAAGCGTGGTCGCAGAGCCTGAATGAATGATGTCGCACGTCGCCAAATAATGATATGTGGCAAGAGCTGCATGGCGATGTGTTTCGACATATCGCGCTCGATGAAAAGTGGCAGCATCGCATGCGACATAATCCAGAATCGTGCATTTCTTGTCAGTGATGTTCCCCATTGGTTCCGCCCCAGCTGCCCTGCACGTGCTGGCCTGCCCCGGCGGCCTGTCAAAATAAGCATTTGTGAGTAGCAGGTCGAGGCCGAAACAAAATTCAAGTAGCAAGTCTCTGTTCGGAACTTCGACTTGGCGCAGCGCCCGCCTACCCCACGTGAACGGCCCGATAGCGGCTGCTTCCCCAGCGCCTGCACGCCCGATGCGCGCGCTCACGTCCACCATGATGACCTCCCCGCCTGTCGCCGAACATGCCCGGAATTCAGCGTCAAGAACTCTCCAAAATGAGCGCCTTTCTGGGAGAGGCTTCAGGTCGCGGGGGGCGCGCGCGGAGAAGAACCCGAACGCGCGATGTCCCAACCTCAACTTTAATTGGCAAGTTCTGTCGGGCATTTGTTTATATGACCGCATGTGCGGCGCGTGGCTCGCAAGCGCGATGAACCCAACTCCCGCCCAAGATTGTGCATGGGCATCTGCACCTGAGGATCGCGCGATATCCGCTGTTCTCGTCTTCGTAATCCTCTGCTTTTGTCGCCCGCGTTTCCTGTAGGCATAAAATGCGCATCCCATATCTATGTGGCGTGTAATTTCCATCATTTTCTGTTCGGTCAAGCCACAGACGTTCCAAGTAGCACAGCGTAGACCAATATGGCCTTCGCAGTGACGTCCCAACGAAGCTCCAGAAGGGTAGCTGGTATCTTTGCCCACTCTGCCCGTACTGGAATAAAACGATTATACTGCGTTTCCGGGGTCAGCGGTCAAGGGAGGAGAAACAGCCCTGCGTTCCCGGCACCGTCAATGAGTTGGTTTGCCTTCGCCCACCCCTTTGGACGAGCCAGCCGCGCCCCTTTCCAATCTCTCCGTAGCCTTACAAGTCAGCTCTTGGAAGGCAGGATCGTCGCGTAGTTCGCCCGGGGTCTCCCACGCTGTATCCAGTCATTCCATATTGAGTTTGTTATTTACCACTGATACGTTCAATATGGGTTTCCCTCCAGCTTCCAGTAATCCTGCGCCCCCGTCGACCTTCAGGAATTTCTTCTCGGAGCCCCACTGCGTCGGGAGACAACGGAGGCCCAGCAAGAGCGATGTAGCAGCTCTTTGTGCGATAGGGGGCGTCTGTGTTGCACCAGACGCGGCAGCCCCCTTCCTTCGGCGTCTGTTTTCCGCATGCTGCTTGGAGGCTTGGGAGAGTTGTTTCGGATGGTTAATGAGATTTGAACCCTGAAAAATCATGTCTTTGAGCTGTTCTGCAGTAGGTCCCTTCTTGTAACACTTCAGGGGTAATTCACAACTTGGTTCCGAAAGTACTTCTGCAACCCAGCGTTCGGCTTCAGAGACGGCGTCATGCGGTAGGCCCCCCAATCACGAAAGTCGTCGTAGTAGATTGTCCAGTTGCTGTGGATGCTCCGGTCGACCGCAGAAGAGCAACTTCGCGTTCCAATTCCTGCAATTTCGCACCAAATGTTGAAGTCATGCTAGGTGCTGTTCTGGATGCCACTGATGAAGGTCTGGATGTGGGATCTTTCGTTTCCAATGCCGCCACGCGCCCTGTGAGGTCGTCGACGGCAGCCTGGAGAGGTTCGACTTTCCCCTTCAGAACGTCCTGGGAGACACAATGTCTTTGATGGCTGCGATGTCCTGCTTGATAGGTGCCAGTTGGTTGGCCAATATCAGCTGCAGTCTCTCCGCCGTCAGAGGTTGACCTGCTGCTTCGGCGAGCCAGCGTTCAAATTGTACTTACTCTGATTTGGCCTAAAAGTGGCTATGGCGTGCGGCTGCAGACCCACTGTCGGCCTCGTCGGAGAGGCCGTCCATCTCGTGCAACGGGCTGTGGATCTGGTGTTGCTTTGCTCGCCCCGATGGCTGCAAGACGTCCTTGACCGGGGTGCCAGCCCTGCGGGTCTGCTTTGACGTAGTCGTGGACGTAGTACCTTGTTCCATTGTTTCTGCCTGCGCGGTCGAGAAGAGAGAAATAAGATATTGATGCAAGGTGTGTAGTCAGAAAGAGTGAAAGTAAGATGTAAAGGTGAGTGCACAAGCTCTACGAGTGACAGAATACCCTCTGGCTTGAGCCAAAATGGCTACGGAAACAGTCCCGCAGGAACTGCGAAAACAGTCCCACAATCTCCGAAGACCTCCCGAAGACCGCCGAAGCCCTCCCTCGTGTTGCTGCTGCTCCTCCTCATGCTCCCCCCCTCCAGTCTTCTATTCTGCGCTGCCTCCTCCTCCTCATCCTTCGCCTGCTTCTGCTCATCTACCTCACCCTCCTCCCAGGACGACAATATCGTCCAGAGGCCTCCGGAGGAATCTGGGGGCACCTGGAGGCCCCCTGGAGGCACCAGACCTCCTGAGGCCTAATGACTGCGAACACCTCTACAACCTAGATCCTCGAACCTCGACCTCGTGTGCGCCCCACCCACCCCCGAAAATCCCCCGCATCCTCTGGAACTGGGACCCCGGTTCTTCTGGTCAGAGTGAACCCCCCCCGGATGGGGATACAGAGCACCCCGCGCGCGGCCTAACGACGACGACGCTGGCGACAACAACGACTGCTAAAAAATCGATGACGATGACGATGACGAAGAGGCGACGGAGAGACGACGACGACCACCACGACGACGACCACGACGACGACGATCACGACGACGGTAATGATAACGACGACGAAGACGGCGACGATGGCGACGACGACGGCACCGAAGGCGACGGCGACGGCGACGGCGACGGCAACGACGACAACGACCAACGAACACGATGACAACGGAGACGACGACGCTGGCGAGACACCTAAGGCGGAGTGCGGGTCAGGCTGGTTTGGCATCAGAATGGTTGGTACCCTTCTGGGCGTGTCGGGCAGGCGGGACCGTAACGGGCGTGTCGGGCGGGCGGGCCATTGAAGCGGGCGGATGGAACATTAAATGCAAACCTAGATCAAGGGTAGGACGATGTGTTCGTCGTCGTCAGTGTCAGCTTCGTCGTCGTCAGCGTTGTCGTCAGCGTCAGAGTCTTCGTGGTCTTGCTCGTCGTGTTCGTCGTCGCCTGCCAGCGCACGAGAGGACCTGGTGACTTTGGAAAGGGGGGGCCCGGGGGTGTGTGGAAATCGAGCCCCCCCCCCCAGCACCTTTTGGGGCGGAGGGAGGTCAGACAATACCGTGGACTTTGGGGGAGTGGGGTACCCGCTAGGACCCCAAACTCAAGTGCCCATAGAAGACACTCTTTCGTAGCAATGGCCTCGCGGTCTGGACTCCTCGGCCGCGACCCCATGGATACACGGCAGCAGGGCGAGGATGCCCCGCGCGGAACGCACACATGCGATCGCGCTCCTGTGTATGCAGACGGTGAGAGAACGGACACATCTATCCTCGTAGCTCGTGACTGAATCGGCGAGGGGCGCACCCAGCGCTTCACTGTGGCCACCGCTTCGAACACGTCCGGGTCGAGCTCCCTCATCGCTATCCAGCCAGAGCAGTCGTCGTCCATCGCGCGCCAAATGGCGGCCACGTGGGCCTGAACGGGAGGCCCCTGGGAGGGATCGAGGGTGAGGTCCACCCTTGCATCCCTAGAGGCCTCCCAGATAGGGTCGGAGTAGATGGGGTCGAAGGATCGCGCTGCATCGCCGCTGCATCGCCGCTGCATCGGCGATGCATCGGCGATGTATTGGCGATGCACAGGCGATGTCGGCGATGCATTGGCGACGCCAGCGTGGAGAAAATCGAGCTCCACATCGAGCCGCATCGACGATGCATCGGCGATGCGGCACGATCCTCCGACACCATCTGCTCGGACCACATCCAGGAGGCCCAGAGAGTGGGCCCCCGGGCTCGACGCCTGCGGCCAGAGCCTCAAGAGGCCCAGGGCTGATCTCCATGATTCGTCGAGGTCAGCGGCGGACCCTCTGCTGCGGCCGCCCCGGAACCAGGCGGGTGCGGCGAGCAGCCAGACCTTCAGACAGCGCTGGCACTCCTTGGCCTCTCGGGGGAGGTGTCGGAGCTCAGAGCGTGGGAGGGAGAACCACGCCCGTCGGAGAGCTCCCCGGGGCCGCGAAGTCCCCCTCGTAGAGGAGGGGCCCCATCGGACTCCGAGCGGGTGGTCGCTCTCGGATCCTAGGCATCCATGGCTGAGATTCACATTCCTCACCTCCTCTAACTCGGCCGCACCTGACGCGGCTCTTCGCTGCATTCCTCCTCATCCGTTCCCCTTCCACAATTACTCGATGTGAACACTACTCTCCTCTATCTCTTTCTCTGTCCCTATCTCACTCTCTCGACTAAGAGCTGAATCCATCCTGCCTTCTCCGTCTGCTGTTATTTGCAGCAGGGCTTCAAACTCTGAGGTCATATGTTGTGCTGTCCAATGCGGAACGTTCTCGATGCTTCATCATGGTGTTGCCGCTGCAACGTGCGCCTCATGTGACGATCGGCGCGTTGCTCCCGTTGCTCAGAATAGCAATCTCGCTCCAGGGCGGGCAACTGTATCGTTATCCTCGCGTTCCTTTGACATCCTCTGCGCTCCCCTGGTCTTCCTGCTCTTCCCGCCCCTCTCGCTCCTGCTCCTGCTGCTGCTAAACATCCCCGTCCTCCTCCTTCATCATCCTCATCCTTCATCATCTTTCTCACCCTGAAACTCATACGCCTGCTCATCCTCCTCCAATGAACACATTTCCGCTTCTCTGCATGCGCATGACGCAATGGTGTCTTTTTAGGGCTCCAGGTCCGCTACGACACCCGTCGGCGGGGAAAGGATGGGTGGGATGGGTACGAGGGGTGGGATATTGGAAATGTCGCGAACGCGCAAGCCATCAACATCCCTCTCCGCCTCTCCCACTCCCCCGTGAAGGAGGTCAAGACAAAACGCAAAAGGGAAAAGGAGTCTGCAAACGTTCGGAACTGCTGTGGGCTCTCGAAAGGGTTTCGTAATTTCCGCGGCACCTTTCGACACGACCTCTGAGCACAAGTTATTCAACTGAATCGACACATCCCGATCCTGGAACGAAAAAGAAAAAAACGCGCCCACCGCTATTTTTCGACGACGCGCAGAGGTCAAACATTCAAAACCGATCCAGTGACACCTCACAAACATCACTCCCACCCACTTTCTGCCGCGGCGACGGGGAGAGCCACCAAAGGGTACAACACTATGAAGATGCGGATGATGATGAGGGGGAGGAGGAAAAGGAGGAGGAAGAGCAGGAGGAGGAGGATTGGCACGCCCGACATGGGACAGCACCAGCGGGGACGACGACGCGCAACGTCAGACATTTCCCAGAAACAGGACAACGGTCGCTGACTTGGGATGACGCCGCTCGCCACACAAAGGACCACGCTCGCCCTGACGCCAACAGCGAAACTTGTCAAAAGCGCGCCGGAACTGTAGCCAACCATGGCCTCCGTATGACGAGGGGAAACATGAGGGGGACCTAGCTCGGAGGGGGGGAAACATCGACATCGAATGAGCAATCCATCGCCGGTAGGTCGGCAAAAGGTCCCCGATAGCAAAGCCGCACGTTCCCTGGCAGGGTTGGGCACCCAGGCCAGGATCGGCGAGGGAACTGGCGATTGGGAGTCGATGTTTACCCCCAGTGAACCAATCGCCCCCTGACGTTGCCCTTGACCATCCACTTCGCGCCCATGCCGATCCTCTTGAGAGGAGGACATAATTTGCCAACTATATCCACACCATTGCAAACCTGGCTGAACTGGTGACGACGGCTGAAACAGTTCATTGCGCACCTCCTTTTGGTCCATGACTGAGCCTCTGTTTCCGACTGCGCGAGACATCGGTATGTGCAACACCCAAATTGCCAGAATATGTCAAGCGGGCTTAGTGCGATGAGAACAGACAGCTGAACTGTTTGCGTCGACCGAGAACCTGGCTTTCTTGGGCCCTCGAAGAGCGGGAAAAAACGCTTTCGTGACAGCGCGGGCCCCAGGCTAATGCATTGGTAGCCATCCGCCGGGCGCCCCTTTTGTCCTTGAAAGGGAGGGAGCCAACCGCGGCCCAGGAGCGTGAACTACCTGACCCCTGTTGGTAGGCGCGCGCGGGACGCGTCGGTCATGCCACGCGCGGGTTTCAAAACTCGTGCCAGAGCCGTCGGGGCCAAGCTACCACGCTCGAGCGCGGACGCGGCAACAAAGTCAGAGCGCACCTTCGAAGCGCCCTTCTCGGTAAAGCGACCATTGTTCCTTTTTCTCACTGCTGGGCCAGAACCAGAGAAGGTTGGTTTCAAAACGACAACAAGAATGACGCAATAAAACAACGACCACACAATGAGAAACGAGGGTCAGGAGGGCGCATGCCGAGACCCTGCTTAGGATGACGTCGTGGACGCACCACGGCTCCCTATAGCTTTCCCCTTCTTGATGGGCAGGGCGAGGGGTCAGAGGCAAGAAGTGGGATAGAGAGATGAACCATCGGTGGATGCGGCCCTCATCCAACTGTCAAGTTCGATTGTACCTCCTGGGCGAGAGGTAGGTCGCTGGGTACCGACCGGGATTTTCATGGGCTTGTCTCCAGTAGTTCCTGTTCTTGGAATTGAACGTACCCCGTTTCCATATTGCGCGTTTCTATGTCCATTTCCTGCTCTTCATCACTTGTAGGAAGCCTACCATCGAGTGCGACCGGAGCTAAGGTTCGCTCTTCCCCTTGAACGTCGCCGCAGAATGCTGGCGCGTTCGCCAGTTTCCCGAACTTAGATTGGCATTCGTTAAAGCCTGCCAATTTGAAGAATTGAGGCGTTGGATGATCCGTGCGCGAGCGGATCCAATCATGGTGGACGTGGGGGTCTGTGCCTTCGGATGCGTAGTAATGGAATCCTGGCGTGACGTCGTTGTCGTGAGATACTGGGGTAAGACTGTCAGCGCATGGCGCCGCAGGTAATCTGTGGATGCTCTCAGCCACGAGCACTTTTCCTACGTTTTCGAATCGGGTGTAGTTTCTGATCAGAAACTGCAAAGTACACCTTCGGCGAAAATCTGCTCACCGCGGCCATCCGCAGGTTTCCTTGCTCGGTCGGCAGGCGGCCGAATACGGCGTCGGGCACGGGCGCGAAGCTCCGCGCCCTCTGGATTCAAGGAAGCCTCGGCGGTATCGTTGCTTACGGCGCCCTCTCCATCGGAGTGCATCAACAAAGCCGGACCGCGTTGCACCCAGCATTGGCGATAGACGCCCAGCATTGCATGCGTCGCCATGTCGGGCTCCCGTTGGTCAACAGCCCAACGAATGCATCGGTCGATGATACGAAGTGCGATGCACCGTCTGTAGAACATCAGGCCACCCTCGGCTTCCTCCTTGAGTTGCCGGGGAAGCTGACTGATGGCATTGCTGCGTTTCCTGGTTTCTCCCAAGCCCTGCACTGACGGCATGAGAAACGACGCCCATCATCATGTCCAGTCGTACAACATCTAGGCCTACGCTCGATAAGATGGCGCGCGTCTGTGGATCGGAGGCGCGATGCCACCACAGGTGGGGTTGGCGTAGTTCTTCCACTGCAATGGTCGGATTGAAGCTACGCGTGTTCTGGGAGACTGATCTGGATGTTCAACCGAATCCAGTCAGGCACTCTCGCGGCCTGAGGCGGAAGAGAAGGTGGAGCTGCATCGCCATCCTCGCGCCCGCGCCGCCTCGCGACGCGCGGCGGGCCCGAAGGGCTGCCCGCGCCGAAGCTGCCAGCGCCGGCGCCGCCGAATCCGCGCGCACCTCGTATCATGTCGCAACGGATGGCACCCACATGCGGGTCTCCAGGGCACCCGTGTTCCCCGGGGAATAAGCGTTGCAGGTCATCCTGCATGACGGCGACCTTGCAACATAAGGTAAAGTGGGGAAGATACCCCTGCGGTGCACGTACCAAGTGTCGCGCCTTACTTATGCGTTGGGATGGGAGGGCAAGCCTGTGTTTCTGCAGATGGGTTGTAGTAGTACTGCTGGAACACAGCAGGTGTGCATATAGTGTTCTACAGCATGTTGTACTCGTGAGTTCCCTAAATCAAAATTGGCGAGTTTGTACAAGCACAACTCCCTCTGGGAGGCATGCTGGGACATGCCGCCCATGCCTGAACAGAGTTCCAACACAGATGCACAGTGGCCCCGTCCATAGCACGGGGTAGGGACGAGCGCAAGTATCTCGGCACGCGCGTCCGCTATGATGGCAGGTAGCGTTAGAGAGAGATCGCCGTCGTCTTCGGATGCAAGCTCTTCTGTTAGAACGTCGGTACATAGCGTGGTGCATCCTGTCTTCTGAGGTCACCGCCACAGTCGCCGCTGCCGTCTTCGGCCTGTTTCAATAGTTTATTTGGTTTGATGTCGGCTTCCTTATCAACTTGTTTTTCTCTTGCAATGGCTGGGCGTCGCCTGGCAGCGCCGTTTCCATGCGTTCCGCGCCCGCCTCGGACGCACGGAACGGCGGGATATTTGGGAACCCCCCGTCAAGCCCAATCGAGAGGGGGGGTCGGGGTCGATCATTCATGATGAACGTAACTCGCATTTGCGGGCATGCTATTTGCCCGTGGCGG